CATCACGCTCAGCACGTGGTAGCACCCACCTCAGACAATGCCTCATGCCTCCTCTCCTGGGCTGGCAGCTCATTCACATAGGATTCCTGATTCCTTCAGGACCCCCAGTCATCACTGGTCAGGATGTCAGTTTGGAGCTATTGTTCACCCAAATAACGTGAGGATAACGGCAGACAGGTGTCAAATACAACCGACTGGGCTTTCCCATGAAAATTCTGGTCTAGGAGCACATCGGCCTTCCGACTGGACTGGGAAGCTCCGTTGGGGATGTGTCTGTTTGTTTAGCTAACCAGGCTGGCCATGAGTTCTGCCTCAGCTCCCCCATTTCTTTGGGGCAGACTTGTCTGGCCACGCCTTCAGACATCTTAATCCCTTTAGCTTGTACTGTGCCCTCAATCACTCATGCAGAGCCTGTTAAATACCAGCTGGTTCTAAAGGCCACATGGCTTGGAGATCCCGCTGCTGTCAAGGCCAAGTGTCTGTGGTTGGTACTTGCCAATTTCAGGTGATTCTGAGCTTAACACTGAAGCAAACTAGTTAAATTTGAATCTCCAGGTAGGGGCTGGTACCCAAGGTTAAGCACACACTGAGCCAACATAGTCTACAACCGGGTCACACCCCCAGCTGCTGCCTTTTGTTTATTTTTGTTTTTGAGATAAGGTTTCTGTAACAGCCCTGGCTGTCCTGGAACTTTCTGAGATCCTCCTGCTTTGGCCTCCCAAGTGTTGGAATTAAAGGCCTGTGACTCCCAGGTATTTTTTTTTTTTTAAGGGATGTCAAATGTGCACACAGTTGAAAAAAAAAACTTTGATTTAGTAGGGTCCTGTCTCCATGGAAATAAGTGAATGCGAACAGACAACCTCTCTGGCTAGATTAACTTTGACCTCAGTTAACTTTGGCCTCCGTTTAAAGATAGAGGTAAGTGATTTGGTGGACACAGGCTTGGAAAGGAGCCAAAGGACCTGGGCGTGGCTTAGAGGGGAGAACACTCGCCTATCTCGCTCCAACTCCAGCTCTTCAGAGAATAAGAGTTGAAAATGAGGCAGGACAAGGACTCAGAGCGGACACACCCACCGGCAGTTGGACAAGTGTGGAGGTTGGGCCTGCAGCTGCTGGGGGAAGGGCTCCCAGCGCTGAGCTCAGCAGTAGGAGGCAGCAGGGGTCATGTCAGGGATGACAGGGACAAGGAGGCTGCTGGAACTGAGGGTTGACGAAGGGACGGGACGTTATCTTCTGGGTGGAGGGAACAAAATGTGCATCTTTGCCTGTTCAGGGAGGGAGTCAGGCCTAGGGACAGATCCTGGGGGTGTGAGGGGGGGTGGCAGAGACGGGCCCAGAGGATTGCAGCAGTCTGGGAAATACACAGAACAGAAAGGAAGGTGTCACTGACCCCTGTTAGCCAGTGACCATAGGTGACTGTATATGGGCAGAGCTACTACCCATAGTAGTTGAGACTTCCCTGATAGTTTGGACTGATGGACTCTGGGGGCACATGGCAGATTCCTAGAAAGAATTTGGGGGGGGGGTGGAGGAGGGCAGAGAGTGCTTAGAGCACAGAGACCCCAGCAGCATTCCCATGTGTTGCTGTGGAATAATCTTTTTGTACACTGTGGATACATATGTCACTCTGATTGGTTTAATGAAACGCTGAATGCCCAATAGCTAGGGGTGATTTTCAGGGCAGAGAGAACTCGGGGAAGAAGAAGGGCGGAGATGCCATGAGAGGCAGAGCAAGCAGGATGGGCAATATGGAGAAGAGGTGATATAACACAGCCACGAGGCAGAAAGTGAATAGAGCCAGGCGGTGATGGCGCACGCCTTTAATCCCAGCACTCGGGAGGCAGAGGCAGGCGGATCTCTGTGAGTTCGAGACCAGCCTGGTCTACAAGAGCTAGTTCCAGGACAGGCTCCAAAGCCACAGAGAAACCCTGTCTCGAAAAACCAAAAAAAAAAAAAAAAAAAGGGCTGGTGAGATGGCTCAGGGTTTAAGAGCACTGACTGCTCCTCCAGAGGACCCAGGTTCAATTCCCAGCACCCACATGGCAGCTCTTCTGTCTATAATTCCAGTTCCAGAGAATCTGACATTGGCATGAAATAAAGTTAAAGTTTTTTTTTTTTTTTAAAAAAAGAAAGTGAATAGAAATGGGTTAAGTTAGAAGAACTAGTTAGAAACAAGCCTATGGGCTGAGCTTTCTTAATAAGCCTCCGTGTTGTTTATTTGGGAACTGGCTGGTGGGACAGAAAAATTCCCTTGCAGCATACGTTTTCCCAAAGACCCAGATTCTAAGTATGCTGAGCAAGCATGTGACCACCAAGTTAGCCTCCAGGCCTCGAGAAGTACTTTTATTTATTTGTTTGTTTGTTTATATATTTGTGGTTTTTGGAGACTGGATTTCTCTGTGTAGCCCTGGCTATCCTGGAACTTGCTTTGTTGAGCAGGCTGGCCTGTGCCTCCTGAGTGCTGGGATTAAAGGTGTGTGCCATCACCGCTCAGCTACTAGAAGCCCTTTTAAAAACCTCTGCTCCATGTCGGCATTTTATTTTGCCAAGCATAGTCTCCCTTTTGGCATCAGAAAACTCAGGCTTTGTGAATGGCTGTAGACAAGGGACACTGAAAGACCCCCAGTGCTGGGGAGACTCTCACTCAAGTCTCAGGATAACACGACCCCCCCCCCCCAGTAACTCACAAGAGACTGTCCTTGCTGCAATCACACGAGGCTTTAATGATGAGATGAGATGGGAACCAGTGCACTGGGGCTGAGACTCATAACCCACGCAGGGGAAGAGTTCGACCCGGAGTGACCGGGAGAACTGATTTTTAAGGGAAGAAACCACAGCCCAGTGATCTGGAATTGGCAGGGAGTATGTCACAGAAAATTCTGAAAATACCAGTGAAGATCACAAGGGGGCAACTCCCTGCCTCTCAGGACCACTCCCAAGGTCATAATCAGCTAGTTCCTAAAATCACAAGGGGGAAACTCCCTGTCTCTCAAGATTACCCCCAAGACTACAATCTAACTTTATCTTCAGCTAGCTCCTGAAACACAGTCACTAAACCAGCTAATGCTGATTCTTCTCTTCCTGGTTAGATTTTTGGCTATTTTCTTCCTGCTGGGGAGGTCTGGATTTACCCAGGTCTTTCAACACCTTTATGAGTGAGACCACAATCTGACTTCTCTGTGTGTGGAAGAGGCAGATGAGAGGTGTCAAGTCTTGCCTGAGGTGATCAGAGGAAGCCACTAGGACCTAGGATACCATGTTCTGTGAAACCTTGATGGTGACCAGGACAGACGGGTTTCTGGAACACAAGGATGTGCAAACCACGAGAAATTGCACAGGACAACATCCTCCGGCGTTAGCTAGGGATAAGGTCAGTGGCAAGGCGGAGGAGCCAGATGGTGGACTGTCCTATGTACCACATTAGGGAGAGCGGTGTGACAGGGAAGACTGCTAACCTGAGGAGCCGTGTGAACATACCTGGGCTACATGTCCCCGTGGAGGCTGCAGGTATGCAGAACAGTTTGTGGATCTGAACAAAAGACAGAAGAATGAAGAATGGGGACTGAAATGGAAAGCTAGCCTTATGAGGAATTCTGATTTTAAAAATAAGAGGGTTTTTGATCTTTAGCAGATTGGCAAGAACAGAGAGCAAAGTCCCTGGTGGCTCCTGACAAGACGCTAGAGGCCTGCACTGTGTTCTGGAGCACAACAGGACTTGCTGGCTCTACTCCAGACACGAGTGTTCTTGTGATGATGGATTTTCACACTTTTTAATCAGTTACGCCCCGGTTGTATGTTTAATCTCAATCTTTTCCTTCTCTACCTGCCCCCAAAACACAGGAGAATAACCTTCCCATTATAAACTGAAATTAATGATTTATGCTTATGAACACACTGGATACCTGCCTGGTTTCTTTGCTTTTTGAACAATACAATAATACATTCGAGTAGAAATTCACAGGTGCCAAAGCAAACATAATTTTGAGGTAAATGCCCTTTCCCCAACTGTTGTCTAATTAATATTGTTCTAAACCATAGTGTAACCTTGTCATTATTCTGTGATCCAAAACCCGTCCCTTGTGCACCTGTCAGGGGAGGTTTGTACTAACAGCCCCCCCCCCCCATCTGACCTTTAAATCTCCTGCTGCTGCTGTGGTGACTTCCTCTACCAGTCCACATTCCATCCCGCTCATCCTCTGTGACCCAGTTCCAACACCAAGATCCCTGGTTCCCTCTCAAGGGGAAAAGCCCTCTTACTTTGGCTTTGGAGGCTTTGATTTTGTCCTCTATCAGACTGAACTCCCTTAGAGACCTCTGAGCAGGTGCCTACCTCCTCAAAGGGGTGTCCCTAACTGTGTGGCAGAGGGCGCTATCAGTGAGATCCAAGATAAAATGACATATTTTAAGAACTGAGGGTTGGGTGCTGGAGAGGTCACAGTTAAGAACATGTACTGTTTTACAGAAGACCTGACTGTGGCGCCCACACGGGACCACCCAGCCATCTGTAATTCCTGCACCAAGGAGCCCGAAGCCCTATTCTGGCTTCCTGGACACCTATACACATGCACTAACATTAAACCTATTGGAAAAAATGTTTTGTAATGTTTTTACGTTTATAGATCCGATTGAGTGATTGTCTAGGTGAACTTTGTGTAAGAAAAAGATGCTTTGCAACACCAAAAGTTTGACATGCCTGTTTGCTGACGCAGGGAGGCGTGGTTTCCGAGGGGAGGTGTGGTCTTCCACATCTTCCAAACAAGTAAACACTGGGCAGGCTAGGGACATCGGCCTAGAGACGATCCTTAACGGTGGAATTACCCCAATCTTATGTGGCCGGCACGTCACGCATCCACGAGTCTGCCAAAGAGCCTCCCCCAAGCAGGGTGACCTCTTCTCTTCGGTCAAATTCTCACATTTGTCGTCATCGGCCCTGTACAAATCAGAACCTTTGCACGAATGTCACAACACCGGGGAACACATTCGCGGAAGAGATGAGTAACTTGCCCAAAGACACTCAAGAAGTGCCAGGGCTACAATTCCGACCTGGGTCTCCTTTAACGTGTGGCATCTTGCGCTTTCCAAAGACCCCACAAACTGTGAGCTTCTAAGGAAAAAGCGGCTGTGTATGACCTCAGGCAGACACGGGTGTCCTGTGGAGTACGGTGACAAAGAACTCTCCACCAAGCTTTGAGAACACTGAGCCTTCACGCACGCGCTATCTACATCCTTGGGTCTCCAGGAACTCGACAGGCCCCACGCTAGAGGACGCGCTGGCTGTTTATGGCACAGCGAGGCCACCGTACAGCCTCGGCTCACAGTGAGGGGACTGGTGGCACCCCACAACCTGGTGACAGGAGTGATAGAGTCGCTATCGGGCCGGAGGCAGCACAGGGCAGCCCCAGCGGCCGCCACCCTCGGAACAAGGCTGGGTCCTGACCACGTGATCCGACGACGCTGCTTCTCCCCACCCCTGCCTGGGTCGGGTCTGGTCTGCGCCTGCGCGGGCGCGGGCTCGCTCGCTCGCCGGCCGTCCTGCGGGCGGGGGCCCGCGGCCGTGGGTGAGTCCAGCGTGGGGTGGGGAGCGGCGGCCCGTGTGCCCCGGCTTCTGGAGAGACAGGCGGGAGGCTTGAAGAGGGGCCAAGCGAGCTCCCACGGCCTGCTCGCGCGTCGCTCCCGGGGATCCGGCGGCTCCGGCCCAGGGCCCGGTCGTGCTGCGCGCGGCGCACTCGGGCCGGGGGGCGCCCGCAGCCTGGGGCGGGGAGCCGCAGGCCCCGGAAGGAATCGGCCTTTGTCTGCGCCCCCCGCGAGGTCGCGGCGACCCGTGGTTCCCCGTGGTGCTGGCGACCCCGCCCAGCGTCTTCCGGTCCTCACGGAGTGCGCAGATGGAAGTCTGGAGAATGCTCGTTCCGAGACACCGTGTTGCAGCGGCGGGCCGTAAACAGCGGAACTGAGCGGGGCGGGCGGGTGGGTGGGCGTCAATTGTTCCATTCTGTCTGGATTGTTAGTGTCAAGTTTAGGTAGAGGGTGTCAGCGCCTCAGCCATATTTACGTCTTTTAGCCTATCCTTTGCCTTGGCCCCTACGGGCTGCGCAGCTGGTCCTAGTGCCCACCTTCTGCTGTTTGTTTTTTCCTGTAGTCTGTTGAACAGGCATGCCCAAATGGACGTCCGGGCCTTTGCTTTGAAAGGATTCCTAGAATCGGGTGCAGGGCACACGAGCAGCAGATCAGAGGCGCCCCTTGTGTGAATTCTGGTTACAAATCTGACAAGAATTGACTCGAGTCTCCTTTGTCAGATAGAAGGACGCTGAGATGGTGGATTTTCGTCAAAGATGTTGCTTTGTTTGCAGTGGCAAAATCCTGCTGTTGCTCATACTTGACCCTCCTAACCTTGTTTTTGAACGCTGACTCAGACCTGCTGACTAGTGGAAGTTCACATCCTCTGAGAATTACAGTCACCCTCTACTCTGTGTTTGGACAAAGACCTTTGTCCTAAGGTCACTTCTGAGTTTTGCTTATCCCTTTGGGCTGCAAGTTACTTTGGGGATTTAGAACTTGCGCTGTTTCTTACAGCACAGAAGTTTGACCCTTGGGTGAAAGTTGACTTTGCTCCCTTACCTGGTGGTGCCTCATGCAGACTAGGGCAGTTAACAGTAAATAGATTTTGTAGTAAATTTGCAAAGGATTATCATTTCTGCAGAGTTAAGCAGAAACCAGTTTAGCAGGGTTTGGTCATGTTCAGAGTATAGTAATCAAACATGGCATGTTTTAAATTTTTGAAGAAACATTTGGGGAGGGGAGCGGCTCTGATGTGCCTCTGTGCCCTGGTGGAGCTCAGAGGACTCTCCAGAGTCAGTCTTTGTTCCATTGTGAGTTACTGGGATTGAACTCCGGTCACCAGGCTTGGCAGCAAGCTCCTTTGCCTGATGAGCCTGCTCCCCATTTTCTTAGCTCCCTAACAGGACGCTGCTGTTGTCTTTCCTTCTGTTGCTGCCTTGAGTCCCTGGGCCTGCACTGCAGAGATGGCTGTTAAAGGCTGGACTCTCAACCTAGTCATACCCTCCACCCTCCACCCTCATGGGTGGGGTGCCATTTACCGGAAGTCAGTCAGAAGTCTGGGACGTTTTCAAAACATTACTTCTTGCCAGGCATGGTAGTGCTCCCCTGTAATCCTAGCACTCGAAAAATAAACAAAAATTACTTTTTTTCTGTATAGAACTTTTAATATTTAATAATATAAATGTTCAACAATATTCCTAAGATTCCTTATGATAGTTTGAAAAGAGGTCCATTAGTAACTGACTTGTAGTCCAGGCTGGCCTTGAACTCAGAGACGACCTGCCTCTGCCTCCCAAGTGCTGGGATTAAAGGTGTGCATCACACCAGGCCAAATGGACCAATTTTAATTTACAGAATTTTGTTAAGCAACAAAAGGACCAGTTCTATAAAAACAAAAACTAAATGTGGCCTTTGTTTTACGGTGTTGAGAGGATTGAACATACAGTAGGTAAGCATTCTTGCCGAACATCTCCAGACACGAATAAAGTTTTTATTGTTGAAGTGCACCGATAAATTGAGTTTGTTCAGGACCATAGGTGTGAACAGCTAGTCGGTGCCAGTTTAAGAACTTAAAGTCTATATTGTTAGCTGTTGGTGGTGGCAAATGCTGGCCACCCCTGCTGCATACTGAACTCTAGGCAGGCCAGCCTTGGCTAGATGGTAAGACCCTGTAAATAAAGTGTTCAGGGAGTAAAACTGAAATAGTCTTTGAATTTATAAATTGTTAGGATCTTATGTGATTGTGTAAAATTTGTTGATTTGAGGGTTTTGTTTGATTTTTTTTTCTTTTTTTTTTTTTTTTTTTTTTTGAGACAGGGTCTCTGTAGTCCTGGCTTTCCTAGAGCTTGATATGTAGACTAGGCTCTACCTCTGAATGCTGAGAGTTGAGATTAAAGCTTGGGCAACCACGCTTGGGGCTTTTTGTTGACTTTAATGTTAACTATGAAACTAAAAATTTACAAGACATATCAGGCATTTCTGTGCCAGGTTTTAATCTTTAAAATCTTGTATAGTCTAAGATTGGCAAACATGAGCTAGTCTTATATTGTCAAGTGTAGTACTGCTAAGAGTTTTCAGTCAGGTGTGGTGGCGCACACCTCTCTCTCAACACTCGGGAGGCAGAGGCAGGTGGATCTGCGTGAGTTTGAGGCCAGCCTGGTCTACATAGATAGTTACAGTATAGCTGGAGCTACTTAGAGAGATCCTGTCTCAAAACAAAAACTAGTTTTTAGACGGGCACGGTAGTGCCTATAATTACAGTAGTTAGAGGCTGAGGCAGGAGGATTACAAGTTTATGACTAGGGTGAACCAGACTATAAAGCAAGACCTGGTCTCACACTAACAAAAGTTTTTACCTCGTGTCTGTCAACTGGAACCATAAAAGGCATGGATGGTGAAGATCATACAACTAACCGTTACCAGGCTCAGTATTTGGCAGACCTTTCAAGTGCCTATGGGACATTATTTTAAATCCACCATATTAAGTTACAAATCTCCGTACATTAAAAATGAAAGGGACTTACGGTGCCTCAGAGGTTAAGAGCATACACTGCTCGTCGAGAGCCTGTGCCTGACTTGGATTCCTAGTGCCCACATCAGGTGGCTCAGCCCATAGAACCCTAACTACCAGGGGGCCTGATACCTCTCCAGGTACCTGCACTCGTGCATAGACCCTCGCAGACACACGCATGCACACGCACATAGTTTAAAAATGAAAGGGAAGTAATATTGTCTCATTCTGTAGAGGTTTCGAGTCACATCAGATGTCCAATTTGTTGTTGTGGAACTGGGGAGGTGGGCAAGAGTGTTGGCAGTCAATGAAGAGTTGGTTCTTGTTTGGGTATAGGGACATTAACAACTGGTTACTGTGCTCAAGGAAAGGGGAACAAATACAGTTAGACACGAGTACAGAAATTAAACCAGGTTTTTTTTTCTTTTAAGGAAATGCAGCTGTCAGTATTGACTCCAGAAGAGAGAAGGTTAACAATGGAGGACGTTGGGAAGGTTACCAGAAAGATGTCGTCATCAGTGCCAGGCTCGGTCGATGTCACAGGTGAGTTCTTAGAAACTCTGAAGTACCAGATTGTCCCACAGTGTGATGAAAGACCACGGATTTGCTCTTAGAAAGCCAGGGGAACAGCTCTGGAACTTGATGTAAAAATCAGAAACTGGGGTCTCTGGGGAACAGTGGTGGGAAGTGGAAGGCAGAATACTAACAAGTGGAAGTTGGGAGGTTGGCTTCGTGGCAGAGTCCTAGCTCAGCCCCCACCGAAAACCAAAACAAAAGATCTTGGCAAATGCTGTTTAGTTAAAGGATATTTGGCCATAGCCAGGAGGGTCATCTCCATGTGCTGAGGCTGGGGCACAGCCTTTGACAGGCAGCAGCTGCTTACAGTGCTTTGACTTTCTCTTCTGTGCAGGGCTGAGCTGCAGTATCAGCCCTACTTTGGCTCTTTTGACTTTTTGATACGTGTTTAATAGGAACTGCACCTTAAATGATTTTTACTGGCTAGTGATCTGAGTGGCGCGTGCTCCTTCACTGACAGCAAGAGCAGTGAGCCACAGTAGCAAGCAGCCAGTACTCCTTGCTAAAATATGGTGTTCGCTAGGTTAGGTGTTCTAACTCTCTTCAGGGACTGGGGGTAAAGCCCAGTGGTTGACCATGTGAATGGCATGCATGAAGCCCTGGGTTTAATCCCCAGCACCAAAAATAGATAAATGCATTTCTGACCTATTTTTATCTCATAATGGATTTATGAGGATACAACCTGAGGAACATCTTTACTTCAAAAAAAAACAGCAACATAGTTCAGCCTTGTTGAGCGCCTGCTGTGCTCCAGACCACTTAAGGGTGCTCTCCCTGTATTAACTCAATGAGTTGAGCCAGTCTCTGAGGTAGGGAACTTCTGTGTCTCATAAACAAGGCAACCGTGACTTGCCATGTGTGGTAGAACTGGGATTTTGATCCAGATAACTAGTAGGGTCTAAGGCTCTACTAGTGCCCATTTCATAGCTTTAATAGCAGTTGACCAAAGTTCAAGGTAAGTTCCAATTGTAGGTGCAGGTGGAACGCGGGTCCCTGTTGAGGCAGGAGCTCCTAATAATTCCCCTGCGTGTGCTGTATTCTACAGCTTCTACAGTCTACAGCTTCTGACTCTTCTCTGGGCTCTGCCTTCTGCTTTCTCTTTAATGGTTTGTGTTTGTTTGTTTTAAATATTTATTTATTTATTATGTATACAGTGTTCTGTCTGTCTGTATGCCTGCTGGCCAGAAGAGGGCACCAGATCTCATTACAGATGGCTGTGAGCCACCATGTGGTTGCTGGGAATTGAACTCAGGTCCTCTGGAAGATCAGTCAGTGCTCTTAACCCCTGAGCCATCTCTCCAGCCCTGTTTGTTTGTTTGTTTGTTTGTTTGTTTTTGAGACAAGGTTTCTCTCTGTAACAGCCTTAACCGTCCTGGAACTAGCTCTTGTAGACCAGGCTGGCCTCGAACTCACAGAGATCTGCCTGCCTCTGCCTCCCGAGTGCTGGGATTAAGGCGCGTGCCACCACTGCCTGGCCTTTTTAATATTTTTGTTCTGTTAGCGGTTTCCAGCAGCATAGTGTGACATTGGAAGAAAAACTTAAAGAATTTAAGAGGCTTTTGTGTTTGTTCAAATCAAAGGCCTAGATAGTTTGTCTGACCTGTTTAATTTCCCATGGATGCTGTGCAGTGTGGCTTAGGTTTGTACTTCCCACCTCTTGAGTGGTGCTGCTGTGAGCATGGGTTACATCCCTGCAGCTGAGATGCCGACCCTTTGGCAGTTCTGTGTGGAATTTACAAAAGCCCCTGTGCTGTTGTCCGTTGCTCCACCATTTCACAGTCCCACTAATAGTGCACCAGAGCGCCTGTGTCACAGCCCTCTAGTGCTGGGTTTGTTCTTGTTGGGTTTTGTGGCCTTTTTAAAAGGTGTATTTGTGTTTATGTGCATGTGCCCTGATGTGCCTGGGGAGGTCAGAGAACAACTTTTGGAGATTAGTTCTCTCCTTCCGCTTTGTTTCTGGGGTGTGGTCTGTCCAGCTACTCCAGGCAGCTTCTCTTTTCAGTGTCTACAATAGTGGTTCTCACCCTGTGGTTACAACCCCTCTGGGGGTCAAACGACCCTTTCTCAAGGGTTGAATATGAGATATCCTACATATCAGATATTTACATTATAATTCATAACTAGCAAAATTACAGTTATGAAGTAGCAATGAAATAATTTTATGGTTGGGGGTCACCACATGAGGATAACTTTAATATGAGGAACCACATTAAAAGGTCGCAGCCTTAGGGAGGTTGAGAACCACTGTCCCAGTGGATTCTTCTGCCCCTGTCTCAAGTCCTTAGCTCACTTTTAAATTGGATTATTTTCTATTTTGCTACTGATTTGTTAAATGTGGTTTCTTATATAAGAGAAGTAATCTACTTATAAATATAAGGGCCTTTGAGAGGTGGCTCCATGGTTAAGAGTGCTTGCCACCCTTTTTGAGAGTAGCCCCCAGTTCCCGTGTTGGGGGTTCACAACGACCTCTGACTCCAGTTCCAGGGGATGATCCGACACACTCTGCTGGCCTTCCAGGTACCTGCCAGCAAGTGCATCAACTGCATACGCTTGTACATAGGTAAATGACACCGTAGGGCATGGCGAAATATCTTTTTCAGCCTAGCCCTCAGGAGGCAGAAGAAGATGGATTTTTTATTTCCATGAGGCAAATGTACTTTATAATTTTCCATACAGCCTTCCTGTCTGGCTAAGAGGTCAATGGAGTCTTCTGTCTTTCTTCATTCAGTCTGCTGTAAGGGCTACTTGGTGGAAGTGATTGCAGTACAGCCGGTCTCACCCCACGACTCCCCTAGTACTCTTCTAAACATCAGTGATCTAAAGCTAGGCATGGCAGAGTGGGCTTTAATTCTAGTACTCAAGATTGTGGGTTGAAGGCTAGTCTGGGCTATGTATTTAGCAAGACTTTCTCAAAACTACAGCAGCAGCAACAACACCCCACAGAAAACGACTGATCTGCTCTGCTGTACACATGTGTAGGAGCAGCATGCTGACTGAACCTCATCAGTATATACAATTAGCAAAAGAAATTTGTTTTCAGTAATAGACCAGTTTTAAAAGGAGACATCGATCTGGAAATTGGAGAAGGGATTGGGGCGAGTTTGTGTGTCACTCTTGGTAACACCTTCATCATTGATTATAGGTTAAAACGTTTCCCCAGAGAAGAAAGACCGTAACCACCATGATGGACTCAGAAGCGCATGATAAGAGGCCCCCAATGTTGACCTCTTCAAACCAGGATCTGTCTCCTCACATTGCAGACGTGGGTGAGATAAAGCATTACTTCTGTGGCTGCTGCGCAGCGTTCAACAATGTGGCCATCACGTACCCCGTTCAGAAGATCCTCTTTCGGCAGCAGCTGTACGGCCTCAAAACCCGGGATGCAATACTCCAGCTGAGGAGGGATGGATTTCGAAACTTGTATCGTGGGATTCTCCCCCCGCTGATGCAGAAGACAACCACGCTGGCGCTTATGTTTGGTCTGTACGAGGACCTGTCACGCCTGCTCCGCAAGCACGTGAGCGGTGCTCCCGAGTTTGCCACCAGAAGTGTGGCGGCGCTGCTTGCCGGGACAACAGAAGCCATTCTCACTCCATTCGAAAGGGTTCAGACTTTGCTTCAGGACCACAAGCATCACGATAAGTTCACAAACACTTACCAGGCCTTCCGGGCCCTGAGATGCCACGGAATTGCAGAGTATTACCGAGGCTTTGTGCCTATCCTTTTCCGAAATGGATTCAGCAATATCCTTTTTTTTGGCCTTCGAGGGCCCATTAAAGAGCATCTGCCTACTGCCACCACGAATAGTGAACATTTGGTCAACGACTTTATCTGTGGAGGTGTGCTGGGTGCCATGCTGGGCTTCCTGAGCTTCCCAATTAATGTTGTGAAGGCTCGGATCCAGTCTCAGATTGGCGGGCCGTTCCAGTCTTTCCCCATGGTTTTCAAGACAATCTGGCTCGAGCGGGACAGGAAGCTGATCAATCTCTTCAGAGGCGCCCATCTCAATTACCATCGCTCTCTCATCTCCTGGGGAATAATCAATGCCACCTATGAGTTTTTGTTAAAGATTGTATGATATGGTCACTACAGGAAATGTTATTCTCCACCAACTAGACCTAAAGAGAGTGCAATTTGTCTTTGTTCCTAATTGGCTTAAATACCGGTTGGCGTAAGTCCAGGCCATAATAAGTTACGAACAAAGCATTGACAGAAACATAAAAGATTTCAGTGGGCAGGTGTCAGGGTTTTGGTTTGGTCATTACTCAAGAGCTTTAGGCTGTTACCTGGTAACTAGCCGTGTGTCTGATGACCTTTTCAGGGCAGCTGTCAGCCAGATAGATTCCTTTTCCTCCCGAAGCAAGCCTTGCTAGGCCTTCGGCGTGGAAACAGTGGCATCAGCAGCCAGCGCGTGCGCTCCGTCCTAGGACTTCTCAGGCCCACCTCTCACCTTCATTGCTTCTCCGCCCTCGGGGGTGATCTTCACTAAACTCCAGCATTGCACGGTGGGCGAGCATCTTAGCTGTGTAGTTCCATGATGAATTGTTGGATTTGAGACTAAGTGCTGTTGAGATGGCCATTAGCCACACTTTTTATTTAGATTTGGTAGGATTGTGCAGCCAATGAAAGCTTCCATTTCACTGTTTAGCTTTGAACATTTTCTGTTTAATTCAGAATGTGACTTTTAAGCCCTTCTAGAATGTTCTTGTGCTTTTTTACTGAATTCATTGCCAAAATATAGGGTGACCAGTGGGGACATTGTCCCTTGTGAGTAGTACCTGTCATGTTCGTCTATCCTGTTCTCTGGTACTAGACTTTAAAATAAACACTTCCATAAAGTTTTATTTTGGGAGTCTGTTAATACAATTCCAGGTCTTTTCCTTGGTTTCTCAGCACTGCAGAGTGAGGCGAGAGCAGAGGGCGGTTTTGCCCAGTGCTCGCTCTCCTTCTTTCTCTGGAAAGAGTTCCTCAGCGGCCTGGCGTTGTAGGAGCCGGCTTACGTGTGCCCCTAGAGTGTGAGAGGTGAGGTCTGACAACAGCACTAGCACCTGGAGCGCAGGCAGGCCGAGCAATCGCAGTTGTATTTGGGTAAAGGATGTGACAAGACTCAGGGTCCAGCTGAGTCACCGTTCTGGAGAAGTCACTTACAGATCTTAAAGAGTTACATTTCTTTCCCAGGATCTGTCCTGAAAGCCAGCGTGTCTCCTTCCATGGTGCTGGGATTGAACCTAGGACCTTGCACATCCTAGGCAAGTGCTTACCCACTGAGCTACACTCCGCCTCCCTTTTTTTTTAGTTTTTGTTTTTGAGACAGGGTCTCAACATGTAGTCCAGGCTGGTCTTGAACTTACAGAGGCCCGCCGGGCTCTGCCTTCTGAGTGCCAGGATTAATTAAAGGCATGAGCTGCTGTCCCTGGCCTCTCCGGTCTGTAAAGGTTTCTCCCAGCTTGGCCTCGCTCTGGCTGATTGCATCCAAGCGCTTACCCGTACAAACTGACATCAGGCCCTCAGCTGGAGTTTGCTCAGTTTCTGGGGCAGGTGATCCAGAACAGCTGTTCCCTCTCACATTAACGCTGGTTAAAGACGGTAAACGTCCTCCGGGCTAGGAAGGCTGGGAGCAGGAGCACTGGGGTGGCGGTAATGGAGATCAGCGGCTGCGGGGCAACACTGGATGGAGGATTGTGTGCGCTGCAGCCATCACGTAGTGTGAAGACACGATTTGACCCCGATAAATATGAGTCCTGCCGAGGCTTCAGTTAAGTGTGAAGGGGGTGAACTTTGACGCCGTGACCTCTGACCCCGTGTTGACGCGTGCAGCATGGCCGCGCAGGGCCCAGGCGGGGCAGGGCTGGTGCGTTCGTCGGGGATGTGGCCCCGGCCGTGAACTTCACCACGGGCCGCCAGTGGCAGTGTTTCCTTCGCACTCCGTGCCGGTTGGCTCTGGCTTTCGCTGGCTCAATCATGTGGCGTCTCACAGCAGTTACTAAACTTCTCAGTGACTTTTAACTTGAAGCGTTTTGTCACTCCTAGCTCTCGAGGACTAAACTGCAGTGTGTTACAGAGACGGCTTTGTCTCCTGTAAATTTCAGCTTGACAGAAAGCGCATAACTTGTAGCCCACTTTGTCTGAGCTTTTACACCAGAATGTAATTCATAGATTCTAACTAGTATGGTGGTGTTTTCCACAGGCATCCCTGATTAAAGAACTCTCTGAAAAGCTTTAAAGTGGCCCTTCTGCTACACGTGTGGCCCAGGTGGCTCGTGAGCACGGGACCCTTGTGTCCCTCGCGTCTCATCTGATGCCGTCAGAAACAGCATGAGTGCCGTGAGCCTTCAGGACTGCACCGGCGCCGACACAGCCTTTGCATGGTGAAGTAAGATCGGTGTCTTACTTCATTTGTGGTTAGAGACACGTCCGTGCCTATCAGCGTCCGTCCTGTGGTTCGCCGTGTAATCACTTGTAAGGTGCAGAGGGCTGGCTTTGTGTGACTGCCACCGAATGAACACTGGTTGGAATGAGACAGTGCAGTGTAGGTCCGATCCAAGGCGAGGCTACAGACTGTTGGCCGTAAGGCACTCATACTTGGTTTATGTTAAATGTATTTTTTTCCCATGTACAAATAAATGCATATCAAAAACTTGAATATGTTCTCTTGAGACTTAAAGATTGCTAGTTTTGTTGTGGTTTCTTTTGTTTGTTTTCTCTTTGTAGCTTTGGCTGTCCTAGAAACTAGCTCTGTAGACCAGGCTGGTCTCGAACTCACAGAGATCCATTTGCCTCTGCCTCCCAGGTGCTGGAATTAAAGGCGTGACCACCACCCACGGCTGATTTCTAGGTTATAATGCTCTTTGCTTGCCAAGTTGGTGAGGAGGTGGGTCTACATATAAGAAACAGAACAGATTTCTTGTAATATGGGTCCACATACATTCTTTTTATATCAAAAGTGGCAAAATACATATATATGGGTCCACATATATTCTTTATTAAAAATGGCTAGACAAAGCTTTGGTTGCTCTTTTGAGTTGTGAGTTTGAGTAAATCTGTTAAATATTTCTGTTAACTTTTGTGAAGTTGGAATACAATTTGGTGTTTTGTGGCTGGATGGTCTTTTAACCACAGTAGCACAAATATTAAAATCCCAGAGACAGATATTGGGGTTCAACCTGACGATCCGGAGACAAAGCAGCCAGCCACTGGCTCTTACCTCTGCCTCAGACCAAAATAGCCATCCTGCCTGCATGAATTCTCATAATGAGACTGAGCTGAGAGAAGTCTCCTCCTGTCTTATATTCCTAGCTAGTGCTGGGAGTAAAGGCGTGCACCACCACTGCCGACCTCTGTAACTACTAACTACAGTTAATAGGACTAAAGGTGCCACCACTACCTGGTCCCTGTGGCTGTTTTACTCTGATCTCAGTGCAAACTTTATTAAAATACAAATGAGATATCACTACATACTACTAGCGCATTATGGGGTGTGGTAGAGTAGTCTACCAGTCTTTCTGTGGGTGAGCATTAGCTTACTGGCTCGGCAGTTCACCTGAAGGCTCAGCAAGGGCCACGCCCCTCTTATTTAGTAGGAGGGCTTGACCTCACCCTTACTGCAGGGGACTTTGTTTCTTAAGAGCTGCTCTCCCCTGTTACAGACTTGCCCACATTGTGACTCCGTCTGTCAGTCACTTCTGCAGTGAAGACCCCCTCTAAACCGCTTCCTGGGGAAATGGGCTGGATGCTGTGCCTTGTCATCTTTGTCTCCACTGAGGACTGGCTGTTCTGCAGTGAAGACCCCCTCTAAACCGCTTCCTGGGGAAATGGGCTGGATGCTGTGCCTTGTCATCTTTGTCTCCACTGAGGACTGGCTGCCACCAGTAACGGCTGTGGGCATGTCTATAGGGACAGTTCTTTTTTCCTTCTTTGGAGATGGTGTCTCACAGTGTCATCCCAGACGTCCCAGAAACTCGGAGGTCCACTGCATGCCTCTGAGTGCTGCGATATTTTCTTGATTGTTAATTGACATAGGGAGGACCCAGCCCACTGTGGGAGGCGCCAAGTGGGCCCGGGCTGTGTGAGGAGCAGAATGTGACTTTGGGAGCAAGCCAATGGACAACTCTCCTGTTTTCCATTTGGGCCCCTGCCTCTGGGCTCCTGCTCTGTCTCAGACCCCTCCCCCCAGGGCGGACTGGAAGGCCAGGAAGCAAGTGGCATGTTCAGTTTTAAGTTGCCCTCTGACTGGAAAAAAACTGAAGTCCTGTAAAGGATAGGTAGGCGAGGGAGACTCCATTCTAGCATTTTAAACTGATTTTTGTTTAGGAACGTGTTCTGTAGCTACCCAGTATTGTAAAGCAGCCTTTTTAGGGCAGAGCATTCTGAGTATTGAGAATCTGCACTTAACACAGAACTCTGGCTTCCCAACAATTTCCGAAGGAAAACAGAAAGCTCTTCTTATTGGATGCTGTTTTCTAGGCTGCATTGGGTTGTGTGCACCGCCCCCCGCCCCACCCAGGAGGGAGGCATTGTAAGAAATCAACCACGGCTCAGAGGTTAAGAGCACTGACTGCTCTTCCAGAGGTCCTGAGTTCAATTCCCAGCAACCACATGGTGGCTCACAACCATCTGTAATGAGATCTGGTGCCCTCTTCTGGCATGCAAGCATACATGGAAGGAATGTTGTATACATAATAAATAAATAAATCTTTAAAAAAAAAAAAGAAATCAACCACAGTCATCCATGTTCAGTAGGCGTGTGTAGAGCTCATCAGTGGATCACAGGCAAACGTGGCAGCAGGCCCTTCCTGGCTGGCAGGCAGCACCTGCCCATGGGATGCCTGGGCGCTTGTTAGCTTCTCCCCCCCATAGGGCTGGAAAGCTTTGGTTTGCTATGGGACTAGGCTCCGGTGTGAGAAAAAAAAAAGGAGCTCTCCCAGCCCCCAGAGGATGGGGATGTTTGGAGTGCTACACAGCAGGAAGGATTGTACCTCCCTGAAGAGCCCAGACGGTGAGGGATTCGGGGGGCAGAAAAATGTAATTAGCAAAATCTAAAAATCACTGTCCTGCACCACAGGGAAATGCCGGTCATTCTTCCTTTCTCTCGGCTGACCCCTGACTTGGCAAAGTGGTCAGATAAACCGCTTCACCTCGGCACACTCTTGAGTCAGCAGCGCTCTTAGTAGGAAATGAGCATGGGTGTCACTCACTCTCGTGAGCTGCACTCTTGGCTTAATCTGTAGGGCTTGAGCTATCCCTGACCAGGAGCTTGGGGGACAGGGTCTGTGTCCCAGGTCTTTGAACCCACTAAGGTTCATATCCCATAGAAGAAGCATAATCTCATCCCAGATATCTTTATCATATGTCCCTCATTTCAAAGATGGGCTTTTTTTGTTATTAGAATATTCTATCATTGTTTTGTTTTGTTTTTCTAGGCAGGGTTTCTCTGTAGCTTTGGAGCCTGTCCTGGAACTAGCTCTTGTAGACCAGGCTGGCCTCGAACTCACAGAGATCCGCCTGCCTCTGCCTCCCGAATGCTGGAATTAATGGCATGCGCCACCACCGCCTGGCCAATTTATTCTTTCTGAAAACTGACACAAAATAAGGGGCTGCCCACTTCTGACCAGAAAGCACTGGGGTAAGAGTCGTGGTTTTGCTGTTTTTAAGAAATGCTAGGAACACCTTCAATTAAATCCACTTGTTTTGGTTTGAACTTTGTGTATGACTCTTTTGGCTGTGTGTGCCTGCAGTACCTGCAAAGGCCAGAAGAGGGTGTCAGACCCCATATGGAACTGGAGTCAATAGACAGTTGTGAGCCACCTTGTAGTGTTGGGAATTGAATTCTGGTCATCTGAAAAAGCAGTCATCTCTCCAGCCCCTCAATGTTATGTAACAAAAAATGATTTTTTTTTTTTTTGAGTTGGGGTAAGTAGTTCATGGCTGTAATTCCAACAGTCTAGGGGGCAGAGGCTGGAAGCTGGCTACTAGAAGACCAGTCTACTAGTGACAGGTTCAAGCCAACCAGGACTACACAGTGAGTCCTGTCTCTGAGAAACAGAAACAACCCACTCAAAGAACAATGTAGGCAATAACCCCGTAAGAATAAATGCAATGAATGTATCAATGTACTTATGAAAGAGCTTGATATTTTATATTTAATTCCTCCCCCCTTGTTACCTAGTATTTAATGTTTGAAAAGCATTCACAATGAGATTTGGATCCTTGATTTTTACCCTAATAAAAACTGTTTTCATTAACACAGCAGTAATGTAAACACAGCAGTCGATCATACTCATAATGTAAATGGTTTCCTAGGGAACCAGGGTTTTTTTTAATATAAAGAATAATTTTATTTTTCAAGGCTGGGGGTCCAACTTGCCTCCAGGCTGCTAAGCAGAATCTCTACTTAAGCCCTACACAATGTTTTGAATTACGTATCCCTGGCTGTTTTCTTTCATTGTCACTGGCAACGCAGGGGCAGCAACTTACAGCTCTTACCAGAGTGCCTTAGCGCCAGCTTTCCTCCTGACTTAGAAAAGTCTGCTCCTGGAAAGCTGACCTCAGGGTAACTGCCCAGGAATTCAGACGTTAAATGGGGAGAGGTCGGCTCCAGCGGAAGCGGTGCTGCGCTGTGACATTTGAGGGACCTGATGGGACACGCTGCTGTTCATCCACACTGTCAACCACAGAGTTGTTTTCTCGACAGGCCTGACCACCCAAGAAAACATTCAATTCCCTCTACACACACATACGATGGCACTGTCTCACACACACAATAAAAAACTTACACAGGAAAAATTTAAAGTTGTTTTCTGACTGACTTTATACAGTGATCCATCCAATAGCCATAAAAACAAACAAAACCCTTAATCCTAACTTGTCTTGTTTCTCAAACTGTGGTACCCAGAGCTGCAGCAGCAACAGAAAACTGGGCAGACAAGTGGCGGGCAAGGCAGACATCAGCGGAGGACTGACACCTGTGGCTTAGCTCTTCCAGATGATTCCAACGTGCGTTAGAGCCCTCCGCTGTAGGAGGGACTGGGGGGGGGGGGCAGCTTGTCTGTGTCACTGTTCGTAAGGAGCGGGCATGAAGTGAGAATTACACGAACGCAGCTTCTAGCACAGACTTCTGATTGCGAACAAGGAAGAGTTGTTTGGGGCCTGCGCAAGCTTCCCATTACTGAACGAAATCAATCAAAGTGGGAAGGGTGCCATGAGATGGTTCAGCAGATAAAAGTGCTTGATGCCAAGCCTGATGTCTAAGGGTCAGTGCCCAGAGCTGAATGTCAGGAAGCGTGAAGAGACCTCCATGCCCACACCACAGCATAAATGAATGTAATAAAATACTTAGATCTCAAAAGGTGGGAGATTTGTTTTGGCTTAGTTTTGGAGGCTCCAGTTCACGGTCTGCTGACTTCACTGTTTGGGGGTGACAGTCAAGAAACCACTGCCCAAATGAACAGCTCCCCAATTAGACTTCTGTTGTTTAAAGGTTTTACCACCTCCTCGCAAATGTACCCTGGGTTAGGGAACACTGCAGACCCAAACTACCACCACAGGGCTAAGTGCTGCTGGGACTGGAGAGGCAGGAAGGCAGCTTGATTGGAACTAGGTGTAGTGGTACACAGTTGTGATTCCAGTTCTTAAGGGGCTGCGGCAAGAAGGGTTAAAAGTTGGTTTTTTTTTTTTTTTGTTGTTGTTGTTGTTTTGTTTTTTGGTTTTTTGGTTTTTCGAGACAGGGTTTCTCTGTGGTTTTGGAGCCTGTCCTAGAACTAGCTCTTGTAGACCAGGTTGGTCTTGAACTCACAGAGATCCACCTGACTCTGCCTCCCAAGTGCTGGGATTAAAGGCTGGGTTAAAAGTTTGAAGCCAGCCTGGACTACATAGGGAGCTCATCTGAAACAAAAACTAAAAATCCCGTGTGGTGTGTGGGCGCATGCGCATGTATTCATTCGCACACGGGTGGGAGCCAGAAGGCAATCTCAGGTACTGGCTCTCAGGTCATACACCTTATTTTTTAAGACAGGGACCTGGCAGTTCCATGCTTGGACTAGTCCCAATGGCCAGCGAACCCCAGGGGTCTGTTTCTGTCCCCCAGCTCTGGCATTCACACGCACTGACCAACACATTGGATTTTTTTTTAATTTATTTATTTATTATGTATACAATATTATTCTGTCTGTGTGTATGTCTGGAGGCCAGAAGAGGGCACCAGACCTCATTACAGATGGTTGTGAGCCACCATGTGGTTGTCGGGAATTGAACTCAGGACCTTTGGAAGAGCAGGCAATGCTCTTAACCACTGAGCCATCTCTCCAGCCCCACATTGGATTTTTATATGGATGCTGGAGATGAAACTCAGATCCCTGCCAGGCATGGTGGTGCACACCCTTAAACCCAGCACTTGGGAGGCAGAGGCAGGTGGATCTCTGTGAGTTCAAGGCCAGCCTGGTCTATAAATGGAGTTCAGGACAGCCAAGGTTGCACAGAGAAACTCTTTCTGAAAACAAAACGAAATAAAAACTCCACTCATGCTGGTCATGATTATCAAAACCTGTGTTAGAGAGACTCGCTGGCCTATGGAGAGCTACAGGTGGGAATTCCAGGAGGGAACTGTTAAGGTATAAAAGGGAAGCGTGAGAGAGACCTCACCAAAGACTCCCTGGGCTGGAAGGAAACCTAGACTCCGGTGGGGGCACACACCTTCAGGATGTCTTCCACCCTCTTCCGGTGCCAGCGCTGCAACCAGCCCCTGAAGCTCCGTGCAATGCAGGAAGGGCCCTTGGAAGCCCAGCAGCATGCCAGCCCCTCCCCAAGGGCCAGGACCTCCAGCAGCCCCCTTCCTGACTGTGGCAAGTCGTCCCAGGAAAGTACCTGCTCCACCTTCTCTCTGCTTGGTGAGTTGACTGCCCAGAGAACTTTTGCAATGCAGGAAGGGCCCTTGGAAGCCCAGCGGCATGCCAGCCCCTCCCCAAGGGCCAGGACCTCCAGCAGCCCCCTTCCTGACTGGGGGGAGTCATCCCAGGAAAGTGCCTCCTCCACCTTCTCTCTGCTTGGTGAGTTGACTGCCCAGAGAACTTTTGCAATGCAGGAAGGGCCCTTGGAAGCCCAGCGGCATGCCAGCCCCTCCCCAAGGGCCAGGACCTCCAGCAGCCCCCTTCCTGACTGTGGCAAGTCGTCCCAGGAAAGTGCCTGCTCCACCTTCTCTCTGCTTGGTGAGTTGACTGCCCAGAGAACTTTTGCAATGCAGGAAGGGCCCTTGGAAGCCCAGCAGCATGCCAGCCCCTCCCCAAGGGCCAGGACCTCCAGCAGCCCCCTTCCTGACTGGGGGGAGTCATCCCAGGAAAGTTCCTCCTCCACCTTCTCTCTGCTTGGTGAGTTGACTGCCCAGAGAACTTTTGCAATGCAGGAAGGGCCCTTGGAAGCCCAGCGGCATGCCAGCCCCTCCCCAAGGGCCAGGACCTCCAGCAGCCCCCTTCCTGACTGGGGCGAGTCATCCCAGGAAAGTGCCTCCTCCACCTTCTCTCTGCTTGGTGAGTTGACTGCCCAGAGAACTTTGAACACTATCCAAAATGTTGTCTTAGAGAACTCTGAAAACCTCTCCGGCCAAAAAGATGTGGACCACCCGCTCTGTGTGGACTGTATGGACAATCTTTTGAAGGAACTAGATGCCCAGCTCACTCTAGATGAAGCTGACACCGAGAAGTACAGACGTTTCGTGGAGAGAGAGTCGCTGGTGAGTGAGGAGGAGAGGGAGGCCATGCATGTGGAGCTCTTCGCTGAGCTGCGGAGTCTGGAGCAGGAAGAAGCAAGGCTGGCTCAGGAGCTGAAGGACATAGACAGCCAGAATGCAAGAATAAAGGCTGAACTCAGAGCAGCCCAGGCAGAGAGCAGGGAGCTCGAACAACAGGAGGAGGAAGATTTGAAGGAGTACGCTGCCTTGACAAAGGAACAGCTGGAGCTGATGGACAAGCTGAGCAGTGTGGAGAACCGATTGGCGGATGCCCAGAAGCAGCTGTGGCGCCTGAGAAAGACCGATATCTTCAATATGACGTTTACCATCTTGGATGAGGGGCCGCTGGGCATTATCAACAACTTCAGGCTGGGCCGCCTCCCTGGCATCCAGGTGGAATGGGGTGAGATTAATGCCGCCTGGGGACAGACAGCCTTGCTGCTCTTCAGCTTGTCCAAGCTAGCTGGACTGCAATTCCAGAGGTACCAACTAGTGCCCTATGGGGACCATTCCTACCTTAAGTCCTTGACTGGTGATGGGGTGCTGCTGCTGTTCTCAGATGGGAGCCACAGAGTCTTCCACAATAACAAGTTTGATCGTGGGATGAAGGCCTTCCTGGACTGCCTGCAGCAGTTTGTGGAGGAAGCTGAGAAGAAAGGCCTCTTCCTGCCCTATAGGATCCACGTGAAGAGAGGGGTGCTGGAGGATACCAGGGGCACTGGCGAGTGCTGCTCCATCAGGACCCACCTGAACTCAGAGGAGGAGTGGGCAAAGGCTCTTAAATTCATGCTTACCAACTTAAAGTTGATTCTTGCTTGGGCTTCGTCAAGGTACTGTTTTAAGATAGAACCAGTCTGGAGCCATTTTAAATAAAACTTCCCATTTTGAATAGGGGTCAAATAAAGTTTAAGTTCCCAAGACCTCCGTGGGTAAATGACATCCTGCTTGGCAGAGAGAGACATGCATGTGGGTAAGTGATATCCTGGCTTCTAGTTAAGACTCTGGAATGAGTGGGGGGCAAGCCACCCTGGCACACTGGAGTAAGTCAACCAATGACAACAAGATATGTGGACCACATAGATAAATGTTCCTAGGAATGTCCCCTTCCCCGAATCCTGATGGGTAGAAAAATGCAACCGTAACTTGGTACAGATGTTGTGATTTTCAGGCATAAAAAAGCATTGTGATGTTCTGGCTTAAGGCTCAGCTCCCGAGTTTGTTCTGCAGCTCTAGTCAATCAGTAGCAAAAACCAATTTTTTGTTTTGTGCATTGGCTTGGTGTGCGAGTTGTGTTGGCTCCAGGTGGACTTTATAGTGCTATGACAATGAACTCATCTTCTAAAACACTAGGGAAATAAGGCGGCACAACTCAAGAATGTAACACGTTTGTGATCCGAAGATCATTTTGTCTTGAGAAGTTCTTCATAGCTCAGGTGGACCGTAAATCCTCGACACTCCTCCTGCTTAGTCCCGAGTGCTGGGATTACATGAACCCACCAGGAATGAGTTTTAAAATAGTGCCTCAGAGGCCCTTGGTTGATCCCTAGTACCGTTATGTGTTATTTGCTGAGTGACCCAGATGTCACTGCTGCACTGTGGTCTTTTTTCCTTTTATCTTTTTCTCTGGTTCCTCTTCATCCAGGCATTCAAAATGATAGGGGCAGAAAACCCCAAAGACATAAGATCACTCTTGCATTAAAAAAATGATAAAGAGATGAGGAGGGAATTGGCCAGAGATGAGTGGAGTCGGGGTAGCGAGGAGAAAAGCTGGTTTGAACTTTCTGAGAAAACTGTGTGGTGGCTCTACTGTGTGGAATGGACCTTTGGAGGGCGGCAATCATGAGGTCAGATGTCAGGGAGAGCGAAGGTTTCGAGTTTTGTAATGCATGAGCCTCGCTTTTCATCTCTTAAGACAATTTAAATCAATGTTTACATTTTCTGAAATGAAAAGGAAACCTGTATCAGAAAGCATGAGAACATATATGCCATTGGTTTTGCAGAGGGGGAGAGACAGTAACCTAGAGAAAGGAAGACATTCTCAAGAGTCAGAAGGAACATAGCCCACTCGTGCCTTGACTTTTGTGTAGGGACCCATGTTGGAACTTGTACTAGTTTAAAGCGCTAAGGTCATGAGAGTTTGTTACAGCACTAATAGGAAACTAATATATATTATTTAGAATGCCAATTTCTTATCCAATTAAAAACTTATTTGATTTGCCTTTTTTGTTTTTAACCTCACTATGTTAAGGTCATGAGTTTGTTACAGCACTAATATGAAATATGTATTTAGAATGCCAGTTTCTTATCCAATTAAAAACTTATTTGATTTGCCTTTTTTGTTTTTAACCTCACTATGTTAAGGTCATGAGAGTTTGTTACAGCACTAATATGTATTTAGAATGCCAGTTTCTTATCCAATTAAAAATTTACTTGATTTGCCTTTTTTGTTGTTTTTAATCTCACTATGTTACTCTGGCCTTAAGTTTGTGATCCTCTTGCCTCAACCTCTCAAGTGCTGTACTACAGGCATGTGCCACCATGCCCAGCTAAAACACCCTGTTTTTAAGTAGCCCCAATATGTCAGTGAAAGAAGTAACAGTGAAACTTAGAGCTACAATTTGTTAAATCAGTTCATTTGGCAAAATAATCTGAATTGAATGAAACTTGTTCTTGTTTGAGTTTTGAGATGGAGTCATGCTATATCACCCAAGCTGGCCCTGCCCGCACACAAGTGATCTTTGTGTTTCAGCCTCCAGAGTGTTTGGAAGTACAGGCCTGCGCTGCTGACCTACTAAATCACTCTTCTTACCTCTCTCGTGCAGGGAGAAACTTAGAACTTTGACTTTTCAGTGTTATGCCTTTTCTTCATATTTTTTGTTTTTCTTTCTTTTTTTTTTAAATATTTATTTACTTATTATATATACAATATTCTGTCTGCATGTATGTCTGCAGGCCAGAAGAGGGCACCAGACCTCATTACAGATGGTTGTGAGCCACAATGTGGTTGCCGGGAATTGAACTCAGGACCTTTGGAAGAGCAGGCAATGCTCTTAACCACTGAGCCATCTCTCCAGCCCATATTTTTTGTTTTTCAAGACAGGGTTTCTCTATGTATAGCCCTGACTATCCTGGAACTCACTCTATAGACCAAGCTAACCTCAAATTTGGAGATCCGCCTGCCTCTGTCTCCTGAGTGCTGGGATTAAAGGTGGGCACCACCACTGCCCAGCTTTGCATATATTTTTAAATGGCAATAGATTAATATAATAGCATACTAGGTAAATAATCAAAATGTGGAGGCAGGCTCCTACTGATGGCACATGCCTTTAATCTCAGCACTCAGGAGGCAGAGGCAGGTTTATGTCTCTGAGTTTGAGTTTGAGGCCAGCCTGATCTACATAGTGAGTTCCAGGCCAATAAGAGCTATATTGTGAGCCTCTTTCTCAAATAAAAAACCCATGAGAAAAAACAAAACAACAAAAATTTGACATGAATTCATAATTTCTTTCTGGAGTTTACATGATCAAAAAAGTGATTATCAGTCTACTACTGCCCTGTCTCAACCTTATGGTCAGTCCTGATCTAAAAATGCATACCCAGGTGGTGAGAGTAAAATATTTCAAGCCACTATATCTGATACTTCATTGACCTTTCAAACATGTTAATCATACACAAAAGTGTGTCAAATGTTTGCAAGTAACATTTATTTCTTAAAATCACATAATGAGGTAGACATGTACCAAAATATTCAGGGCACATATAAAGGTTTAAAGAAACCTGGAGATTTTATGTTGGTATGTGTGGTGGTCATCTGTAATTCTGTCTATCCACTCAAAGGCTTAAAATAATTCAATAGGAAAGGTAAATCTATTTTACAGTCTTAGAAAGTTTATCTGTTCTGAAAAGAACATTTCACATACCAAAAACCATCTGGAAGTAGCTTTAATTATAGAGTAGAAACTAAGGAATGAAGTCATGCATTTGTAGCTGTCTTTGAAGGCCTTTAAAGATAGCTGGAGGATGTGCAATTCTTACAATGCTTTTCTAAGTCAGATCCACTTAATGTGTGAGCCAAGGCCACATGAGAATGCACTGCTGCTGCTCCCAGGTTTACAACAGGCTGCATGTAAACGGGCATGGAGCCTATATAACTCCACAACCTTGTAATGCCAGCCCGGTTGATGTCTGTTTCCTGTGCTTCTATAGAGAGACCGTAGTTTTATCTTGGTTCCCTGAGTACCTAGTACCAGGCATATACTAGGGTTCAAGTCCACGTTCAGTGAGAATTAGAACCCTGATTTAGCTTTCAAAATCAATAAGTACCCAGAGGAAGACAGCCTACTATTTAAAAACAAAACAACCACCCCCCAAACAAACAAAACCAACCAAACTAAACCAAACCAAATCAAACCAAAACCCAACCACCACCACCTGATACTGCCTCTGGGGCTCGGTAAGTTTTCCATCACATTCTGGCTTCATGAGAACTTGAGGCCACACATAGTGAAGGTTCATTTGACTCATTCAACAGGTATTTATTGAACAACCACTCTGTCAGATCCTCTCCTGGGCACCATGGATACAAGAATAAAGAAGATAGCCCTGCCCTGAAGGAGCGCACAGTCTAGCAGACAAGCCAATAGCACCTTAGACCCTGCGATAAAGTGTTCTGATTGGCAGCTTATTAACTAGAATGTTCCAAGTTTGTTAAAAACACAAACCTAACGTTTGACCAAAAAGAGCCTTGGGAAAGCTACGGATTCGACCTATCTTAAAAACTGTGGCCGGATTTAAATCCTGAACATTACTTTATTACTCCTGGGGGGTGTCACATTTCTATGTACATGCATCCAAAAGATGTGTGCATCAGATGTGCTCCTTGGGGCTTTTGACTGAACCTCTGTCAGCTCATTTTACGGCAAACTGGAGATTTTCCTGTTGGCGATAATTTCCATTATCATTTGAATGGGAGCAGTTCTCAGGACAGTGGCAGGAGTTATCTCTAGGATGTACATGTTCGGTGGCCGTTAGTGTGATATCAGGCATACATTTCAATGGTTTCAGTGGCATCTCTATAGTCCTAAGCCTACCCGGAGCTTCCTTTTCCTTCCTCTTCTGCACTCCGTGGGTGTCCTTCCGCAAGTGTTGCTTACCCCTTGCAGGTGGAGCGCTGTCGTTGCTGCACTGTGCTTCAGTTTAGTGCTAGTCTGGGATCCAGCAGCAGCAGCAGCAGCAGCCGCAGCAGCAGCAGCAGCAGCCGCAGCAGCAGCAGCAGCAGCAGCAGCTCTGGTTTATACCTCCCTTACTTGCTTGCCCCACCTTTAACAGTGGGTTTCATTTTTCAGATGGTGAGTAGAACATAGCCAAAGGAGCTGCCTCACTGTGTGTCCAGAGTTTGCCCAGTTATTTTTGTAGGCAACGACCAGGACTGGTTAACTCATGTCACAGCCCAGAAGACAGCACAGAAGAAAGCAGGAGCCTGTTAGAAACAGGCGTGCTGATAGAATACATTACTTCGCAATATACATTTTTAAAGCTAACCATGAGGCAAATACATAGTTGAGGGAATATTCCTAAGAGATATTTCTCACATTTCTTATAGCCCTTTGTGTTCTATGAAATATTCTACATGTATCAGAGCTTGTTGTGGATTTGCAATAATACATCGTGAGTGTAATGTAACTTCATCATGATAAAGTGAATCAGACCGAGCATGCTGTTTAAGAAGGCAGAGAGGTAGACTACCATACCTATGGAGACTTGCATCAAAAATAACTACAAATTTAAAATTTTGGCACTTAAGAGATACACATTAGTTATCCAAACAAAATCCACATATATGGATTCCTTCATGACCAACAGAAGGTGTTACAGAATGGATCTATACAGCACCCAAGGACCACTGGTCACTGAATGAGGATGATTGTCATCAGGAAGTTACCAGACCATATCGCCTGCTTTTTATAAAAGTCAAATGAAAGCCTGGCATGGTAGTGCACACTTGGGAGGCAGAGGCAGAAAGAACTCTGAATTGCAGGCCAGCCTGGTCTACACAGCGAGTTCCAGGACAGTCAGGTCTACACACAGAAACCTTGTCTCAAAAACAAAACAAAACTAAAAGACAAGTGTAACAGACACTTAGGGACACAGTGCTGCATGGTCCAGTGTGAGAGACAACAGTCTTCTAAGCGTTTCTTGGGGTGTTTCCCCTCTGCTCCCCTTCTAGAATGACAGCCTTTAAAATTACATGAGCTGACCTGATCCTAGATGCAGGAGTAGGGAACATGAACTTTATATTTTCCTTTGCGTTGTTCCCTTAAAACTTCTATTGTGGCTTCTTCTTAGGGATCTAACAGGGAGAAATAAAATAGACATGATTTGGGCTTTGTGAAAAAACAAAAAGACACTTAAAACAAATAAACTGGGACTCACTGTATGACTCTGGCTAGCCTGGAACCTTAGCATGCAGACCAGGCTGACCTCAAGCTCACAGAGATCCACCTGCCTCTGCTTCCCCTGCGCTGGGATTCAAGGCGTGCGCCACCACTAGCTGTGATCACTTTTTTAAAAAGTAATTTTTATTTTATGTTCACTGGTGTTTTTCCTGCACGTATGTCTGTGTGAGGTGTCAAGCCCTGGAACTGGAGTTACAGATAGGTGTGAGCTGCTATGTAGGTGCCGGGAATTGAACCTGGGTCCTCTGGAAGAGCAATCAGTGCTCTTAACCGCTGAGCCATCTCTCCAGCTCCATGGTCACACGTATTTTTAAAAACAAAAGACTCTTATTTTAGCCCTTCATTTCCTGATTGAAAATAAGCAACTATTGTATATGTGATGCACCTAAGTCATTCAACATAGCATTCCCATTAACAGGTGTTCTGAAGGAAGCTTTTAGCCAGAATAACTTAGTTACCAAGATTTACCAACAATAACTTCATTATCAATTATAATATACTTCTACCAATTATAATAGAAATGTATAAATAAAACAGTAAAAAGTACCAGATTTTCAGACTGTTCAAATGGGACCTTAAAATGGTAATATGTAACTTTTCCCAATAGTACAGGTTTTCTGAGGCCCTTCAATTCTGGTTAACACTGTCTGATTTTTGTCTTGGCCCTGACTCTCCCTGCTGCAGCACTTGCTGGCTCTTTTCGGTTCTCATCTCTGGCTTGGCTTTCTCACAAAGCTATCCTCTATGTTTTCAACACAAGTGCTGCTTGCTTTGTTTTTAGCTTAGGAACGGCCCACATGTATGCCTGGGGTGATGATCTGCAGTCTCATGGAAACACCAGTGTTGGAAATGTTCTTCTATGCAGCACTGAAGGCAACAAGGCCAGCCTTGTAATAAAATTTTGCAGAAGATATCAAGCTCATACATTAACAGACCAAGGTAGCTAGCTCATCCTTCACAAACTAAGGGGCAAAATGGTAGAGAAGTCAGTACAGACTTAGTAATAAACAGGCAAACCTGGGTCTGAATTCAGTGCTGCTTGGGAGGGAGCCTTGCAAAGCCTGAGTTTGATGTTTGCCCCCCCCCACCCCCCCAGGAAAACCAGAGAGAGAGCACAGACTCCAGATAACAGCTTGGTTATCATAAGAGGAAATAAAAAGCTTCCCTCTTCGATAATAGCATTTGCATCCTTCTGAATTCTCCCATCCAGGCCTGACCCCCCTTAGCTTCTAAGGTGAGTTCATGTGCATTCAAGGGAAGTATGGCTGTAGACTATCATTCTGAACTCTGTATTTGCAACTAAGAACACAGCAAAGAAGTAACTCACCACCTTAATATACTTATGTCTAAATTAGCTTATAGAAGCAAGCCTATGATTTTCACTCTACTTTGCTGTTTTTTTTTCCAATGACTACAAGTTTTCCAGCTTTTCTAATTTTTTAAGACTGCCCCAGAGCTAGCATTGTTCTTTGGGAGACACAAGCTCTTACAGGTGTGTGAATGGCTGATGGGCACTATAAAGAACTGTGCGTTTACTTGTGTATTTGGGCTGTTTCAACATTTCTGTATTAAATACCTTTTTTGCTATGGATAAAACTTTCAGCATCTACTCCCATGCTGCCTTTTCCAATCTGATCATCTTATTCACAATAATATAACCTAAAGACAAAATGCCCATAATCACTGATTTTTTTGTTTTGTTTTTTAAGACGAGGTTTCTGTGTAGTTTTGGAGCCTGCCCTGGTACTCGCTCTGTAGGCCAGGCTGCCTCTGCCTCCTGAGTGCTGGGATAAAAGGCATGTGCCACCACTGCCTGGCATCACTGATGTTTGTAACAGCCGTCATAATACAGTAGAAACTGGCTTGAGCGAGGAATTAAAAGACTTGAAGCTCTGGCCTTCCCACTAACTTTGTATGACCTCAGGCAAATCATTTAACTTCTTTCATTTGTCTAACGATGAAATGAATACCATTTCAAGTTATATGCTACTCTAAAATTGCTATTGTTGATTTATTATTATTACTGTTTAAATGGATGAAACATCTTGTGGGAGTTGTGTTAAGCACCAAATGGGTATAGAAATACCTACTGCAATTTCAGGTTGTTTTCAAACTATGACCTGGAGGCCACCTGGATATAGATGATTTAAGGTTCTTTTTATAAACAGAGTCCGGTCCTTTCCCTGTCTAAATCAGTCTTCTAAAGTCAGGCCCAGATTCCTACATTTTTCACAAATCCTTCAAGGATTATACTGCATCCTAATATTTGAGAAACGCTGGCCTAAAGGGCATGTGGCCAAAGAGAGCAAGGCTCTGCATGGCTTCAATTATTCCAGCTTCTAACACATCTCAACAGTGCCAATCAATGTAGCAGAGACTGGAAGAACGCTGCCCATCCAAGGCAGGAGTAGCATTGCTTTCACACCTTGCCTGATACTTTCCATGACCAAAGCAGAGCCAGTAGTGCTACTCAAGTGACAGCAACTTAAAGGACTACAGGTCCCTTCTTAGTGATGGTGAGAACTAAGTTTATGCTCTCTGGCTGAAGGAACAAAGACAATAAAATCTTTTATTTTCCTCCCACCCATTACTGTGAACAGCTCATCTGTGTGACTCAAAGAATCACAGCCAATCTAAGCCAACTTAGTCTTCTCACTCTATGGCCAGAAACTGTACCAACCTAATGAATAAATCTTCTGTACAACAGAAATGACCGAGCTTATTCCTTTCCTTTCCAATGCTGCTGACAGGAACAAAATACCAAATACAGACACATGCTGGAGATTTTAAATTCATACAAGTAAAATAAATTACAATGAGGTTGCAATATTTTTCTAGAATTTCACAACAAAAATCTCACATGAGATAACTTGTATAATTTTAACAGGAAATTTTAAAAGGATATTTTGTTGCAAGAGTATCAGTTATGAGAATAATGCTATTATCTGTGCTCAATATTTAAAAGCAACTTTAAAGGCCAAGTGTACTGATAAATGAAGATGAACTTTCTTTTTTTTCAACAAGTGGTGTGCCAACATCCAACTTCTGGGTTTTATTTAACACTAGTGCCACAGGCTGTTCCTCATCCCAACCATGACTCTTACCCAATGCTCACAAAATTCATACCAAAATAAAATGGGGGGGGGCAGTGATGGAAATAGGGATGGGGAGAGAACAAGAGCCACATGCAAAATGACTAGGAAAACCCAAACTCAGCGGCACAGACAGCAGAGCAAAGGAATGCCGAGAGAACGATGCTGCATGGTTGGAATAGAGATGCCCAGATGATGCTGGATGGCCAAGGACTCGGGTCACGGTGTTCACCAACCCATAAGAACCAATATCTTGACCCAGAGTTATAAGATCTTCTAAAAAAGAAAATACTTCACCTAAATTGAAGTAATTCATAAACAAACACCAGAAGAGTTCCTCATTTGATGTAAGTTGTGCCTAAAACTTTGGCTGATACAGAGAGACCCGTCCACTAAGGCACCCTGAGGCAATCTGACAGTGTGTTGGAGAGAACTTTGTTGTCAGGACCACGTCATTGTGAGAGTACAGAGAGCGAATCACCCGTAGGGGGCTGGCTTCTTTGGGTAAACAGTCAACAAGCTCACTGCACTGCTTGTCAAATCCCAACAAGCGAATCCCGTAGCCATGTGGGGAAGAAATCATTCGTCCATCGGGGCTGAAGCAAAGTTCTTTGATGTAGCCCCTGCCTACATTAGCTTCTTCAATGTAATGAGTCAGCCGCAGGGAACATCGAGGTGACACAGGCCGCACTGGAGCTCCTTCTTGGAATTCATAGACGCAAGTCCACTGGAGGAGACAGGAGACAAACTGAAGTGACAGACCCCAAACAGTACTGCAGAAACACTCTAATGCTTTAAGACCTCTTGTTCCTGAGGCTGCCTACGACTTCTATCATTACATTGCTATCAATACATTTCCTTTTTTTTTTTTGAGGGCAGCAACAATCCGTCCTCTGCATATTTCTAAGGCCTTTCTGCCTTCCTTCAGTTTGGTCTGTAGACCAGTGAGCTCCTTGCAGACTTCTGCCTACCACAGTAATGAGATCCTAAGTGTTTTTTTTTTTTTTTTGGTTTTTGTTTTGTTTTGTTTTTTGCTACAGGGTTTCTCTGTGTAGCCTTGGTTGTCCTGGAACTTGCTCCATAGACCAGGCTGGCCTCAAACTCTCAGAGAACTGCCTGCCTCTGCCTTCTGAGTCCTGGGATGATTCTAAGTTCTTTTAACTCTTTTCCTCCAGACATCAGTTTAGCCCCTTCCTTTCTCAGTTTCCTCTGGTTTTTACATAGACAGTTATGATATATCTTTTTTTTTTCTTTTGGCTTTTCAAGACAGGTTTAGCCACCCTAGAACTTGCTCTGTAGACCAGGTTGACCTCAAACTCACAGAGATCCGCCTGCCTCTGTCTCCCAAGTACTGGGATTAAAGGTGTAAGCCACCACTGCCTGGTGGAACTATTTTACTAAACCCTAAACCTCACGTTTAGTCAGTTTAACTGAATAGCTTGGTGTAACATATATCGTTTTGTTTGTTTTTTTCTGTGATGGGGACAGAATGAAGAAGCTAAGCATGATATCAGCTGCTGATGGTCTTTAGTGCGCTTCTCAGCTTATTATAACAAAGCAGGAGAGGAAGAAGAGCTGGAAGGGATAAAGCAACAGAGGAGGAGGTAGAGGAGTTGAGAAACGGGGCCTTTGGTAGTATGTCCAGAGGGCAGGGCCTGAACCTGGTTGTTAGCCTAAGGTCTGCACACAGGGCAAGGACAATTTGTCCATTGAGCCCTGCTGAATGTGAAGCAGTAGTCTATACCTCCTGATCATCAGTGTTGCTTGAGCACCGAAGAAGGGTGGCCCAGCCTTTGGGGTGCAGTTGTAAAGATGTGATACAGTTTCCACGATCTCTCTCACCAGGAACTTCAGGGGTTAAGACTTCAAGACTATTTCGTGGTGAAACTCCTGAGATACAAAAAAATTGTTACACAAGGACTAAGGCAGACTCAGGACTTCTGGCAACTACCTTCTTGCCTTCATCCCTTACTTTATTCCTTACACTACACCACACGTAAAACCATCTTAGCTCCCTTAGTCCCAATATATGTGAATTTTACAGCAGGAATGACCAGTGATTGAAGGCATGAAAGATGAGTGGGGTCTTTTTTCATTGAATCTGTATCTCAAAAGGTTCTTTATTTAATAACTGAAGTCATGTGCATGGAAGGAATCTAGAAGATTAAGGTCACAATTCTCAACTCAGAGAACTTACTGGTCTATAGGCCAAAGAATGAAATACTTAGAACCCAGGACTGCCTTTTAGAAAAAAAGATCAGGACTTATGATCCTTAAGGACAGTACAGATGATCCTTTATACTGGGATTAATAAACTCATCCAAAGCTGAACATATTTAGGTTGTAATGCATTCAATACACCCAACCCACTGAATGCCACAACTCTGTGACAGCTTGACCTACAGTATTAGCCGTTTCTCACAACGGTGTGGCTAACTGGAAGATACCCTGTTACTTTCCAGAACCATGAGAAAAAGTAATACATACTGCTAGCCAGGGATCCAAGTTCAAAATGTGAAGTTTGGTTTCTGTTGAATGCATGCCACTTTATACCACTGTGAAACTGGGAAAATTTTAAGTTGAACAACTCCCAAGTCTCTACCCATACTATAAATAGATAAAAAAACCAAGGGTGAGAGACATCTTCCTGGTGACTCTACTATAAGCCACATCATTTCCTTCAGCCTAGTTCCTAGTATGCCGCCGTTGCTGATCAAAAAAATATATGAGAAACCATTTTCACGATGTCATAAGAAAGCAGCCTAGAAAAACCTTTGTTGTTGCTGCTGATGTTTTTAGACAGGGTCTCATGTACCCTAGGCTAGTTTAAAAGTCTCTGAAGAGGAGAATGATCTTGAACTCTCGATACTCTTGCCTCTCCCAAGTGCTGGATAATAGGTTGTGCCACCAGGCTTAGTTCTGCATACATACTGATTTAATTTTCATGGCATCCTTGTTCGGAATCCACATTTCTTAAATACAGTTCCCAAGTACTTCATCTTCAAACTAGACCAAATCAAGATAGGGCTGGGACAATAAAACCAATGCTTCCAAGAGGTTAGAGTCGGTCTTTTCAAACGATGGCTAAAAAGCAACATAAGGCCTCATTTTTCTTAGATTTTGTTTTTATGGATTAAAACTAAACCAAAGAAAGCTATTTGATAGAAACCTATTGCTGTAAGGTTGTAAAGCCAGCTTTTAACCTACCTTCTCGTTGAGAGGCTCGTGACATGTGTTTCTCAGATGAGTTAGAATCACTGTGATGACAAGGTGAACCAGAAACTCTAGAACCAGAAGAACTTGATGAAGTGGTCAAATCTTGAAAAGAAAACCAAACAATAAACCTAGAATAACTCTTACAGTATCTTTTAATTTTTTAATTATCTACTTGAACTTTTAATACAACTAAAATGTGCCAACAAAATCTCATGTAAACTGGACTAGAACTAAGAAAAAGGCAGACAGTTCTTGGTTCTATTTCAGGTCTACTTAAAACCATTTTAAAACCTTTCATAGTAAAGACTTGTGTGAAATAAGATAAAAAGCCACGCAAACATCTTTGCTTCTCTAACATTTCTAAAACAGAACTTGTGTGACAGTGAATATCAGATATCTGTGTGTTATGTTACTTCACACGGCCATGATTCACCCTGCATTTCTGGCAGCTGCACACTTCTGGGGAGTCCCTGACAGACTGATTTCCTGTGACATTTGCAACTAGAATCACCCATAGAAAACTGAACAGCTTTTTGGTTTTTCAGTCAAAAATGGACAACTTCAGGGGTGTTATTCACACACCTTTAGTCCTAATACTTCATTTCCAGATGCAGATGCAATATGATGCCTATCGGATAATACTGATATAATATAGCATTTAAAGTTTTATGAGCCCCAGCTTCATTTAAGTTTACTGAAATCAGCAGTGAAAAAAAGAACAAGGCTTGGCAAAAGGACGCTCCAAGATGGGTCAGCTTGTGAGTGGACATGGAAGTGTAGGATAGATTACAGACCTAGAGCTCTTGGAGTGATTGTAACTTAACATCCTAATATAGGCACCATGACCCACCATTAAGTTCGAGGCAGGGATGGTGAAAGACTCTGGCTAAGAGTCTTTCTAGAGGCACAGGTTAATGTTATTGTTGGTTCACACAGATCGTCGTCCATCCTTGGAAAGCCAAGAATAAGCTTCCTAAACAACAGCTTTGATTTTCTGTCCTTTTCCCTGCTCACACACTTAGAACAAAACCTCTGTGGCTCAGAGTCTTCAGAAAATCTTTTAATCAGAAAATCTTACCTGAACTTGAAGTAGTTCTTCTTGCTCTCAAAATGGGATAGCTGCCTACTTCTAAAGACTTAGTTAAGTCCAGATCGTGCAAAATCAAAAGATATCCAGAGGATGTTGAGATCAACATTTTAGAACAATCTGGTGTTAATCTCATTCGCATAAGAAAACGTGTATGAAAGAATTTCTTATGTGGACACCCATCTTCTGTGCACCTAAGAAGAAATCAGACCAACAAACCTAGTGTTACCACAGGTAAGATGATTTGTAGTCCCAGTCAAATTGCTTTACTCTTAAAGCAGAACTGAGAGCCAATGAAAACCTTCCACACATACTTTATGCTGTTTTACTTTTACTACCTCGCCTTAGTCTCCAACCCTTCTTTTGAGATCATTTTCTGAGTATACAGTCACAATTTTTAAGTAAAACGTTACTGAAGTAAGCTCTCACTCATGCCTTTGACTCTTTTTTTTTTTTTTTTTTTTTGGATTTTCGAGACAGGGTTTCTCTGTAGCTTTTGGTTCCTATCCTGGAACTAGCTCTTGTAGTCCAGGCTGGCCTCGAACTCACAGAGATCTGCCTGCTTCTGCCTCCAGAGTGCTGGGATTAAAGGCATACGCCACCACCACCTAGCACTAGTTATTATGTTTTATTCTCCCTATGTTGTCTCTCTGTCCTCCAAAAAAACTTCCTATTTATGTGTTCGCTACTAGAGGATTTTCTCAATCATCTAATTATCATTAGATAGTTTAAGAGCAAGGGATTCAAGTCACCGGGAACTCTTGAGTACAGGGTCAGGTGAAGTCATTTCTGAGGAAGCTCTCAGTGCTTAGGTCTTTGGGGTTGACAACTGAAAGAAACCCACTCAGTCACCTTGGCTTCAGCAAGGCATTGAAGTCCCAACTGTTTCTGGCATCCTCCAATATGGCACTATTTTCTATATTGCCCTTCTTACCAAAATAGAAACTTCATTTTATGATGCACTGCCAATTAGAAGGGGTGGAGAATAGACCTTTAAGTTCTTAAATATTTCTCAAACTTCCCCCTTAGCAACCCCCCTTCAGTACAGGATACCCAGAGTTCCTAACTCCTATGGTTTTTGAGGATTCTGGGTAAACTCAGTAAAGTCTTAAACTTTTCCCTCTGAAACTCAAGATTTAGCTTTCTTTTAAAAAATTACTTTTAGGGGCTGGAGAGATGGCTCAGTGGTTAAGAGCATTGCCTGCTCTTCCAAAGGTCCTGAGTTCAATTCCCCCGGCAACCACATGGTGGCCCCACAACCACCTGTAATGAGGTCTGGTGCCCTCTTCTGGCCTGCAGACACAGACAGAATATTGTATACATAACAAATAAATAAATAAATATTAAAAAAATTACTGTTATTTATGTGTGTGTGTCATCTGTGTGCAGGGTGTGTTCGATCCCCTAAAGCTGTAGTTACTGGCAGCTGTGATCTACCTGATATGGTGCTAAGAAAACGCCGGTCTTCTGGAAGAGCAGTAAGTACTCTTGAACTCGGAACCATCTCTCCAGCCCGAGGATTTAGCTTTCTTAAACATCTTGAGTGAAACTGCCTAAACTGCAGTTGCTAAATCAGTTGACATTCTTCTACCTGTCTCCCAGATTCTAAAATCTATTGTCAAGCTCCTTCTGTTATCCTAACATTTTAAGTTCATGTCTGACCTCCTACCCTAACCTCGGGGTCTCATTAAGTAGCCTGGACTACAGACCAAATTGGAAATGAACTTGCTGTGATTCTACTGCTTCTGGGATTAGTGTAGTTTTTGAGCCTTCTTATCTATAGGTTTAATTTATCTCATAAAGACTTAAATTTAGGTCTTACAATTAGCATAAAGACTATCCATTTTCCGTGAAATTATATACTGTAGCTACATGTAGTTTTAGCACTTAAGAGGCTAAGGCAAGAGGACCTTGAATTAGAGACTAACTTTTTCTATAATAATAAGTTCCAGGCCAGTCTTAGCGACTCAATGAAACCCCATCTCAAGATATGGCATCTCGCAAGGATTTTTCAAGTATTATACACTGTTATTAACTAAGGTTACTATGTTATATAATCTATACCTCTTGAATGTCTTCTCCCTAATTGAAATTTTGTTTCTGCTAACCATTCTCTCCCCTCTGCACCAGTTTTCAGTTCCTTAGATAATTTACCACTATTCCAATCATTGCTTCTCCAATTCTACTTTTTTGATCTGTCATTCCATGTTTGGTTTATTTCACTTAAGATGTGTCTACTAGGCTCATCTATATTGCTGAGAAAGATTTCCATATTTTAAGGGGCTGAAGAACATATTGTATATGTACCATATTTTAAAATTTACACATCTGTTGGGTGCTGTACAATGAGTGACTGAGTACAAGCCTTTAGCAGCCGACTTCAGCTCCTCTGGATGTATACCTAGTAGAGAGACCATTAGGTTATTATGGGAGTTCGTTCTTTCTGTCTTTCTGAGAAAATTCCATAATTTATATCTAACAATTTTGGTCAATGCTTACTAATTCTGATTATTTCTCTGAAGAGTTTCTAGGATTTTTGTATAGACAAGTGGCTGGAAAGCTATGACTGTGGACCAAACTTGGTCCACTGGCTGTGCATGAACATAGCCACATCAACTCATGTACTGTTCCTGTGTGGCTGCTCAGAAACCACACACTACCAAAAACTAAAATATTTATTACTTAGTCTTTGACAGAAAGTTGTCTATACTTGAGAGCCACATAATCTGTGATTAATATTAAATTTCCAATCCATATACATACATGACTTTTCTTTTATTGCACCACCTCACTTATGGCACTGATTACAATAGGAGCAGTGGTGGGCATATTCTCTTTCCTGATTTCATAGAGAAATTTCTAGAGGTTTATCACTAAATACTGTCCTGAGGACTGAGAGGTCACGCAGTTAGCAGAGTGCTTGTCTAGCATGCACTCTTGTGTTTGATTCCCAACAGCACATAAACTGGCTATGGATGCACACACCTGTAATCCCACAACTCAGCAGGTAGAGGTAGGCGGATGAGAAAGATTTCAAGGTCATTTTCTGCTACAACAGTTTCAGGCCTGAGCTAGAAAATTTGTCTCAAAAACAAACAAACAAAAAACAAAACAAAAACCCCAAAAACAAAACTGAATACTCTGTATACTTTGGTGAATTTCCACTTCTGTTTACAATCATTTGGTTTTCATAAAGTTTTATTGAGGAATAATTAACACACCATAAAATGGCTTCATTTTAAGTGTACAGTTAAATGATTTAGAATTGTGCAAACAACACACTATAGCTTTATAACATTTTCAAGCATCTTAATAGTCTTCCTGACCATCACTGGCAATCCTTCCTTGTTCCAACTCCTGGACCTAGACAACCGCTAATCTACTTTTTATCTCCATTATTTGCCTAGTTTATATACATACTCTTACAATAAGGGCTTTTTTTTTTTTAAACTGCTTCTTTTTACTTATGATATTTAGGGGTTTATCCCTGCTGTAATACACATCACTATTTGGTTCTTTTCCTTTTGTGTGTGGTTTCTTTTTGTTTGTTTGTTTTTTGTGGATTTCTCTGTAGCTTTTTTTTTTAAATATTTATTATGTATACAATAGTCTGTCTGTGTGTATGCCGAAGGCCAGAAGAGGGCACCAGACCTTATTACAGATGGTTGTGAGCCACCATGTGGTTGCTGGGAATTGAACTCAGGACCTTTGGAAGAGCAGGCGATGCTCTTAACCACTGAGCCATCTCTCCAGCCCCCTCTCTGTAGCTTTTTGAAGCCTGTCCTGGAACTAGCTCTTGTAGACCAGGCTGGCCTTGAACTCAGAGATCCACCTGCCTCTGCCTCAGTGCTGGGGTTAAAGGCATGTGTCACCACTGCCTGGCTCAGTTCTTTTTCATTGCTAAATGGTATATATTTTTAAATTGGATAAGCTACTTTTTGTTTGTTTGTTTATCTCTCTACATAGCCCTTGCTGTCCTGAACTCACAATGTACATCAGGTTGGCCACTGTCTCCCGAGTGCTGGATTAATGGCTTGCACCACCATGCCCAACTGATACGCTACCTTGTGTTAATCTATTTACCATTTGAGAGATATCAGATTAGCTCCATTTTTGGAGGCAATCATGAAAAATACTACTGTAAACATTCATGTACAAGTCTGGGTGTACACATATATGTTCATTTTCTTGAGTAAACATACTTAGGAAGTAGAATCGCTGGGTCATAGTCTAGCTATATTTAATATCTCATAAAGCTGGCAAACTGAGCCAGGCATGGTAACACACACCTTTAATTCCAGCATTCTGAAGGCAGAGCTAGGGAGATGTCTAAGAGTGGAGGCCAGCCTATTCTACACAGTGAGCTCTAAGACAGCCAGAACTACGGAGAAAGATCCTAGCTCAAAACAAACAAAAAACAAAAACAAGCTGGCAAACTGTAATTCCAGTAATGAGAATTCTAATAATGAGGTTTTCAGTAATGAATTCCAGTTTCCCACATTCTTGCCATTGTTATTAATAATACTGAATCTTTCAAACACAAATATGTAGTATCTCTCCTTCATTTACAACCTTTTCCAGCAATGATTTAGTTTTTACTGAACAAGTCATATATATGGCACACAAATGAACACACATACATTTATTTATTTATCGTGTTATAGATCAAATCCAAGGCTTTCTTGCTGAGCTATACTCCCAGGATAAATCTTATACTTGTTAATTTTTTTCCTAAATTATCTTAGTTATTCTGATGCCATTGTGAAATGGAAATATTTTTATTCATTTTTGGATTGTTTTTCTACTCATATATAAGAATAATAGGATTTTGTGTATTAATCTTATATATCTGCTTATAAATTGATACAGTTGTGTTTTGTATATTAATTAATCTTGTGTATCTAGTCATATGTAAAAATATTATTGGGTTTTGTATATTAATCTTGTATATTTGCTAATAGGTTGAGATACAATTGGGCTTTGTATATTAATCTTGTATATTTCCTCATATATAAAAATGCAATTGAGTTTATATATATAGACTTGATGAACTTAGCTCTAGGGATTTTGTGGATCCATCAGATTTTCTACATAGTGTGCAGATCCTTTGCAACTAAAGACTGATTTATTTCTCTGTAGTCTGGATGTATTTTACTTTTCCTGTCTGACTGCACCTCCACAGCCATGCTGTACC